TGATGAGTCCAGAGTAGTAGTATCCGGAGTTATGCGTCTATTCGATTAGCATGAACTTGCTATGATTGAGTCGTAGCTGTGTCAGCCGCAGTTTATCAACCGATGTGACACCACTGTTTCGCCGCATAAAAGGCAATAACGGCGAGACCGCAACAATCGAAGAATGATTGCTGCATGTCGTCTCTCGGACGCCGCTCCGCAAGTAGTTGCCGACGGCCGCCGTTCCTCAATTCGACAACGGAGCCGCTTCCTTTGAAATTTTCCTCCGACACGGCAATCAAGACACTCTGAGCTGTAAAGTGTACTAGGTACTTAAGAGATACCTAGTCACTCGAACGCCGTTATGTGCAGTAGCGTAGTGAGCAACGGTCTCAAGTCAGAAACGTTTCTTTGTTGATCTTTGTTGAACGTGTGGATAGGTTTTATAGTTCGATGGGGCAAATGCTTGCCACGTTTTTGAAGAAGGAAGCATGGTAGCTGGTAGCTTTCGACGACGAGCCAACACAAAGCCAATGGGAGGGCGTTGTAGCCTCAGACTCAGCGGCAACATGCACGCTCGGATCCTTCTACTTCCCACGACGTGCAAGATAAACCATATTGCGTGGCGTCGGTGTCTCAAGGTATGAAAGAGCGGTCCAAACTGTGGCAAAGACCTGGAGTTGTCGCGCCCGATTGAACCTGGACTGAGGCAGTATGCGCGGACACTCCGTATGTGACTGCCAAGTACGGAAATGTCGATGCAAGGGATCATCCTCACCCACAGCACCGCGGGCACTCAATAGGGAAGATGAGACTGTCGTCACAACTGAGGACAGACGGCAAGGAACTTCTTACGCACAACCCAGCTGTGCCTCATAGCCGCGAGCCGTATGTATATAGACTTTCAGCGTGCTTACCCGAAGTCGGGATTTGATCTCGGATCCGAACTGTTCCATGGTCTGCTGACGTGTATTGTAACAAGCGATTGGCAGTGAAAATGGGACGAGCGGGTAAAGATCCTCAAACTTGACGATTTGCGATGTTTCTCACTCATCCCACGCGAATTCAATTTTTGTTTGTTGATCATTGCACGTGCTTCGATTTAGGGTTGAGTGAGTTCTCCGTGACAGCGGGAGCGGCTGGCCGCGTGATGAACAAACGGCCGAAATCTTGGTCTACGGATACCGAATTCCGCAGATGGTCCGGCGAGAAGCACAATAATGATCGGCATTATTATCGGACTCGAGTGTTGGACAATTCGCACTCGAAGCTTCGAACGCTCAAGTCGAGAACTCGGCGCTGCTGACTGGCGACCTAATTGAGATATGATGGAGTTGGAATGGAGGCGAGCTGTCATTGGGTAGATCGTCCAAACGGCGCGTTCATCCTTGGGAACAATCCGACGAAGTGGCTAGGCCTTGTCCGTGCCACGCAAGATAAAGGCAGCGCTGGGACCATCTTTCATTTCACAAACGCTGGTATCGCCAGTAGCCGACGCGGTTTCTGGGTCAGGGAGCGATGGAGTTGCGCTGCTCTTCCCCCGCTGTATTCGCAACCCCTGCTGTAATCCTGGAGCATTGTGAGCCTCACCAATCAGAGCACAGTATCGCTGGGTTGAGACATGCGCGAAGTCGTGGTAATTTCGCCTAGTACTCCGCTTTGTCAACCGCCTTGGTTGCCCCTCGAGTCTATTCGGCAGTTTGTGGATGTTTCTTCGCTGAATGGATACCATGTTTATGCTCAGTTAGCTTATGAAGCTCTGTTCTTGGGCTGACGATGATGGAAGCCCGCAGTTTGACACTCGCGTCATTATCTTGTTGGAACTTGAATGGCAATGCCAATGTCATGGTCATAACTGCAGTCTGTGAGCAGCAACCAGTGTGTTGCGCCGCGCCACAGCCGCGCTGCTGCAGTGTGACTCTGCGGACACATGTACCTGCACAAGCCTGATGGTGAGAAAGCCACCACACCGACGCTCAGTCGCCGTGCAAACATAATGAGTCTCGTTGTGCAGATTGTCGCCCGTTTCCTAATTGATCGTTCTCTGGTGGATGCAGTTGTCCACCTTGCCGATTTCGGCCGTCCTGCCCCGGCCAGTTTGTGAGCTGTCGCCCACAACCGTCTTATGAATCGTGTTCGGACGGGGAGGGTGCCGGCCGTACCCCAGGAAATGCATCAAGATCACAACGGATGGATGAGGGGAAACGGCTTGGACGGCGTGTAGGTATTCGTATCCGTACTGACTGTGAGCTTGCGAGGTGTCTTGAAGAAGCTGAGGAACTGAGTGTGTAGGACAAAGTGAGTTGAAACACGAGTCGATAGCCGTGAGACAGTCTGCCAACAAGCGTGTATCGGCACATGGTTTCTCGAGACATGGCTCTCCCTTGCCAACGCTGTCACGAGCGTTAGTAGTTGATGGGTTTCTTCAGTCTTGTTGTTGACATGCTGAGCGATCTGGCTAGACCTCCCATCAGAGCCATTCTCGAAGATGGGATGGCAGCGAATGGCACGAACGGGCCAACCATCGCGATAATAAAGCTTCGACAAGGAAGACCATGTGGTGTGAAGATTGATCAACGACGAGGAGGACGTGTTGCCGACGGCTGGTTTCCCGCCATTGCCGCACTGGCCTGACAAAGCCGGGGAAAGAGGGATGGTCCCTTCATGGTGGAAGCCATTGCATTCATGTTCCCAGTCTTCCTCGTCAGCTTAGGTGGTGTTTGTTTTCATTGCCCCCATTGCCAGCACATTGGTGTCGTGACGCCGTAAATACAACGTAGACGTGAGCAGTGGAAGTTTGAAAATAGAAATGGATGGTAGGATGTCTTGGTGCCCTAGGATTGAGTGTCTCTGAGAGCGAAGTTTAGGAGATGAAAAGGAGGCGGAAAGAAACGGTAGGTGACCAACCGTCTTCCCTTCTCTCCAGATGTATCCGTAGAATCTGCCGGCGTCGAGGCGCTTGGATTCCAAGTACTCGGGACGGAACATTGTTAGGAAATGTTCCGAGCAGATGTTGATCAAAAAACAACGGTGACAGCCTTGACGTTAAGTTAACGAGCCCAACTACAAGCCTTGTCTACACAGTACCCCGTATGCCCATGAAAGGGGGAAGTTCCTGCTGGCGGCGACGGCCCACGGCTGCGATGAAGGGGTTTATTGTGGTTTATGCAAATGGGATATATCCACGGCGACGGGAGGGGACAGATTCGAATGGGGAGAAAACGGAGTAGGACCAACGATAAGAGAGGATTGGACGGCCAGGACCTGGAGTGAATTGGAAGAGTGTTGGCAGTTTGATCCATGGCCGACGAGGGGAGACCCTGAGACACCCCTGTCAGCTGCTAGTTGCTCCCCTGCTCCACCAATTTTGAATACTCAAAGCGCCTTGCCTGTTTCTGACAATTCCGGTGGCCGTTGCTTCCCAAGTTATTGTGAAGAGCAGGGGTAGCTGGTACGTTGCCAGGTACGAGGGGGCAGTACGTACCGGTTGTTCCTACCGTCAACTTTCTTTACCTTTCTAGTTACAACTTGCAGCACCTACGGAATACATAGCATGTACCCAAGTCTCTGAGCGGCTGCCCACACAGATGGGGGGCCAGACTGGAGTAGCCTCTTGTGCCTGTTGGGTAGCGCAGCCACTCACATCAACCACAGCTGACGGGTCTCTGGTAGTCTCTCTTTCTCATTGGAGAGAAGGTCGCGCGGATGGCTTTCCTGCAGATGGGTGATGGCCGCGAGGTGGGCGACTTTCTTTTTTGCTGGTGCGCTTTCACCTCTTTCCTTTTCCCTCCGAGTGTGAGAGTCTCTTCTCAAAGACCCAAAGAAGGCAAGGGCCCCAGCCTCCTTACATCCATGTCCCATGACCCATGTTCATATGGCCCCAGTTCGCGTCCAGAAAGAACTTCCATCCTTACCAGAGAAGAAAGTCCACACCTCCAAACCTCTTAGTTGCACCTTCCCGCCGCGTGCCGTCGCCATTCAGGGCCTGGTCCATGGTCCACCGCCCAGGTCCCGGCCCGGGGTCAACCTGAGGGAAGGAAGCGTGGGAAGACTTGAGAGGGTACCTTCCACCGCACCTCTGATAATCGGCTGTGCCCATGTGCCCATCCCATGTCCCTCGCGCTGCTTGCTGCCTTCCAAAATTTCCCTATTTTCCCCAAGGTCCTCCCGTACCTGCCGCAGAGTGCTCCTCTTGCCTCCCCTTCCCCTTCCCTCCCGCGCGTGAGTGTGTGTGTTTGTGTGGTTGCGAGCTTCGTCCCGCCTCAAAACAACATCATCGCCTTTCCCTTCTTCTCTCGCCTCGACGAGCCCGACCGTGACACGTCGAATTTCCTCACAAATCTCGGATCTTAACTGCATCCTCCTAATTGTATTCCTACCCGAATATTGTCAATCAACCTTTGTTTGCCTTCACTTACTTACTCTCGTTCAGCCTCTTACCTCTCGCAACCCACCAATCTAGTGGTGCAGTTCCCCGAGTACCTATTTCTAAATCTCTTGGTCAACCTCCTTCCCGCGACGAAATATCAATCCGATTTCCATGTCCATACGTTAATCGCGACCCAATTCCCGAGCATTCGACAGTCTCTCACCTTCCTCGGCCCCCACCTGGAGCTATTTTCTCAATTGACACAGTTGATCAACCACCTACCCGCCGTTTTGCCTCTTTTTCCCGACGACAACAACAACCGCAACAGCTCAGTGCAAACGATTCGGCCTCTTTACAAATCAATTGAACGACTGCCTGAATCCTTTTTGGTTACGACTATCACTCGTCCAGCATCTCTCAGAGCCACAAGCACTCTTTACCTTGACTGTCAAACATTCACGACGATCTCCCGTTCGCCCCGCCAAGAAATTCCTTCGGGACGACGATCTGTGAAGTCTTGGAAAGATAGTCATGAACGGGATCCTTCTCTGATCAACGACTTCAAATCGAGCCTTCCAAGCTGGTGGCCACGAGTTACGGAACGACATTTTCAACCACCGGTAAAGGAAAGCCTACAGGCAGAGGAAGAGAGATGGGTCAAATAGCGAGAGCAGCACTTTCGTCAGTGCTGTCCGCGGCAGTGGTTTCGGCGCAGTCAAGCTGTATTTCTCTGCAGGGATCGACGACATGTTCAGCTTTTCAGTCAGCATCCGTTTCGACTACAGGCTTTGTGGCGGGGATTTTGTACGTTGTGTAATCACTAAGCGCCGTGACCTACACTGACCATCCTTAATAGCCCCTTCCTTCAATATGTGTCCAGCAGAGAAACATTTGATCAGCAGATGTCGTCTTATCTTGAGACAACATACGTGCGGGAGAAGTAAGCTCATCCATCAGCGATTTCGTAAATGCTTTTGCTCACACGGAACCAGGTATCAAACACTACTTGGCTGTAGCAACGTCAATCTTACCAACCCGGACGAGCTATATGCACGTTTCACGGCTACAGTTGTCTGCAACTCAATTGTTCAGAATTCGATCGACGCATGCAATTTGACTGCATCCAACTCACGACCCGTGTGCGCCGACACTTGTGTAAGTGACTCGTGGAATTGGCAGCAGTTGCGACAGTTGCTAACGTGAATCAAAGGCCGAATTCGCACAAAGTGAGGCTCTGCTCACCTCGGACAGCAGTCTCTGCGGTAACCCGGGCAGCAATCTCGTCAATCAAATTCGAGCAGACTTCACCAACTGCGCTCTGCCTGCCGGCTCTCTGTCATCTTCCAACTGCATTCAAGGCGTCGCCAACGAGAAGGAGAACTGTGGATACGGCAACAGCACCGTGGGATTGTGCTCCTATTGCGCATCTGGTGGTATTAACTCTACTGACACATGCTGCTACAACTCGAACATCGACCAGCGTTGTGCCGGAGTCACGCTACCCTCCATTTTCCCTACTATGACCTTCGCACCCCCAACGGCAACGGCGACCCCGAGCCCGTCAAATACGGCAGCTGCATCCAAAGAACTATCAGGTGGTGCCATTGCCGGTATCGTTATCGGCAGCGTGGTAGGCGCCCTGTTGCTTGCCGGCCTCATCTTCGCATGCATCTTGCTCGCCAAAAGAAGAAGACGTGGGAGCCAGAAAGGCAGTGTGTTCAACCAACCGTCACCCTCTAGGCAAGGACCGTCTACGGTTAAGATAGCGCCGGCCCAGACCACGAGCGGATACGAAGTCTTGCCCGGCGGCCGAATCGCCCGAATGTCAGCTTTGGAGAGCGCATCAGACCCGGCTCCTGTCCCGCCTAGCCGCAACAGTGGCCCCCTCATGGCCGTCGCCGCTGGAGGAGCAGCAGGATATATGACGGGCAGAAGGAGAGGCGACGATCCGTCTTCATCCGAATTTGGAGACAGCCCCGAGTCGGAATCCAGAGCTGGTGTTCTACGGCCCCCTCCCACTAACATCCGGAGGACGGGGTCTCTATCTAGTAGCTCAGTCCTGGCGGATCCGCAATCGCCAACGAGCGCCGGAATGTCGTCTCCACAAGGCATGGCCAGCCAGCAATCTGAGCAGCTGCCATTCTTCAAGGATTACTACTCTCAAGACGACATCCACCCCGGTGATAGAGTCGCTACACTCTGGGCCTATCAACCCCGTGCCCCCGATGAATTTACTCTCGAACGCGGCGATATGCTCAAGATTGTGGGTATCTGGGACGACGGTTGGGCAACGGGTATTCTGGTGGATGAGCGGGCCGATGAATGGGAAGCTCGACGACAGGCCCAACGAGACAGCGGTGTTTCCAACACTTCTGGCCGGCATCAGGACAATTCGCCGCCCGTGAGCGGCGAGATCAAGGCCTTCCCCCTCGTTTGCGTTTGCTTACCGGAACACTGGAGGAAAACTATTGAAGGGGATGTCTCGACAGAAGGTTCCAGCGCTCACCAAGGACACTCATCTTTTTCATGAAAAATCAAGGCCAATTTACTGAGTTTTGCATACACCTAAACGAAAATAGTTGTCTTTTCAGCATGGGCTACGGCGTTGAGGCATCGAGCTTGTATTGACTTCGGCCTCACAGAGAGGTCGAAGTTCCCTTCGGGCGACATTGACCAGCGACTCTTAATGAAACGTGCTTAACGTTTCCACCGACCGCATTTCACTTGACTCCCTTGGCATTTTGCACATAGAGACGAAGTAACTACATTTCTGCGACGACCCGCCTAATGTCATCAATCCTAGACGAACGAACGAAACTTTCTTCTTCAACGCGGCATCGCTTCGAATCACGACGACCACTCGGAAGCCTTCACAGACCAATTCGAGCACCCCATGCGAGTGGTTCTGATGAGACAACGATACGCGATCTTAATTTTACGACGAACACGCACGCAATGCGCTCTCCCCTTTCATTTCGAACAATCGACTTATATACCCATGGTGCGGTGACGAGGTACTGATGTTTGTGGAGTAATAAGAGGTCGGGGAGGGCCTATGCGACATACTTAATGGCGGACCTCTTGGGCAGAAGAGCTGAGCCTGCGGCAGCGGATATGTCTGGCTTGTCGTCCTTGGTATTACTCGGTCACACATCGACTCCCGATCGACTAGGTGGAGGCGAGGACAACGACAAAGCCTGGGCACTTGGTTTTGAGGAGGTGAATCGGATTTCGTCTTAATCGTTGGCTGTTGCGGCGCGAAACCTATCCTGCTACACATGGCCTGACGATATTACTTTGGCTTCCTCCTGTAACCTACTGGATAGCCGCTCAATTTACTTAGCTCAAATACCAAAGAGAGTTCTCTCACACTAATGATGCTTCTTGCTATAGCTGACGGTTGTGAGGCAGACGTGACAGTGTGGTATTGGTGCCGCTGATGCTACCCTGAATGGTTTCATCCGCATCGGGAGCTGAAACTCTTGTGGTCACGCGCGCATGAGCAGCTTCTTTCAGCTTGTGCTCCGTCGGGAAAGTCCCTGAACCAGGAAGATTAAGATCGCGAATTAAGAAGCACAGAAAATGCTGACACAAGGAGGAGGTGTTTGTTGCAGTGGAATTTGGCGGTGAGGCTAGGGCTGGAAAGAGAGTTTGGTGGGATGAGACTTTTAGACCTAGATCTTGACACTGATGACATGGGCATCGTAGGTATGGCGTAGCTCTTCAGACGAACTGTATCTACAGAGTCATCCACTTTTGATGGACAGGCATGACTCTTGCTGTCCTACCTCTCGCTCGCTCCGGATTGCGCAGTTTGGGGGGATCATGGAACAGGCTTGGGATTGGGCGAGGGAAGGGAAGAGTGAAAGGGTTTGCTGCTAAGTTGAGCAGCTTGTCGTGTTTGAAAGGGTTTCCGCTTGGGATTAACACCGGCGGGCTATTCTTTCCAATATCAAGGTGTTCCTCCGAAGAGGAGGGGCGGTTTTATTCTAGCTTCTGAGACCTGTCGTTTCTTCTCACCTTATCTTGTACGAATGAAAGGAAGTAGGTTTTGTCTTTCGCTAGTGACGTGGAACGCCGAGACGGCCGGGTTACCTCCCGGTGAAGGCGGTGGCCTTTCTACTTCCATGCTCTTATTGCTGCGGCGCGCGCCAAGGTGGGGGTTTGGGAGGGGGGGAGGTCTTTTGGAGGGGTTAATTTCTTCAAGCTCCCCCTACCTTACGCGGTAAGGTATGAGGAGGTTTCCGCTTCGGGGAGATCTTGACATGTGCCATCTCGCAACTTGGCGATCGTCGGGCGCCCTTGTTGCGTGCTGATTCGTTGGGAAGCTGTCGGTTATATGGGCAGCCTGTGTTTTGTGTGTGTCTCTGTCGCTCTCTTGTGTGAGCTGACTTCCGATTAATGTTACGGTAAGTGAGCTGTGTGTAACCCACCTGTCTGGGGCAGCTACTGCTGACGTTTTGCGAAGCATTACTCCTGCTTGAGTCTAGATGATACTGTGATAATACGGTGCTCAAAATTGAGTATACATATCAGCCACCAAGTTGGGGATATCAGTAAACGAAACGGTTCTTGTATGGGTTGAGCAATGACACCGTCAAGACGCTTGGGTAAGACACACCAGCTTTGAGGGCTCCTGCAGGTTGCATGACCGGTGATCAGCTTTTGGTATAAGTCCTGCTTGGTTCGTTCGTAGACGCGGACAGATTTAACTTATGTGCTTGATCGAGAGTTTGCAGATCAAGCTTTGTAAGCTATCGTTTACCTAATTCTCGTTGCTATGAATATGGTATCAAGCTACCGAGTGACCTTCAATCACTCAACTGAGGCCTGGCAGGGGTGGAAGCACGGGCCAGGTTTACGGGTACGCGGTGCGGAGGTTAAAGACGGCGGGACGCCGATGTACCACGTAAGGTAAGGTAAGGTACTGATTGCTTAAGTGGACAGCCTACGTCCCGCCCGCGGCAGGCACCTTGCTTGATCTGGGGACGGTGACCTAAATGCACTCGTGATTGCATCACTGCTGCAAGGCATCTTTACCAACAACTCGTCAATCTTCGCGACGCAACGAGAACTCTACCACAGATAGAGTCCCGTCCCTCGGTACAACTAGGTCAAATGACTGCTTTTTGCGACTTACCTTCCCCAACATGACCGCTCCCTACCACACCGGCCAAGTAATCGCATAGCTTCCTGAGCAGTTGAGCTATCTCTGCCCGCCATGGGCCAAGGTTTCTCTCTAGCGACGCCCTCCGCGGGCTCTGCGGGTATCGATATACCCGAGCTCTCCGACCTCGTGTACGAGAAGAGTATCGGAAATGCGCGCTTCATGAAGAGCATACGCGCGAGGCATCACGATGGAGTAGCTCTTGTCAAGGTCCTAGTCAAGCCGTACACCCCGATGCCTCTGGGGAAGTACAAACGCGACATAGAGAGTGAGCCAGCCTTTGACCTGTCTTCCCGAAATCGCTGAGCATATGGCTGACTATCTCAAGAACAACGTAGCGGCCTGGCCGATGTGCCCAATGCGCTGGGCTTCCACCGGATCGTCGAGACCGAAACGAATGGCTACCTAGTCCGACAGTTCCTCTACAACTCCCTCTACGATCGCATGAGTACCCGTCCATTCCTGGAGGACATCGAGAAGAAATGGCTTGCTTTCCAGCTGCTGTGCGCCCTGCGCGACTGCCATGCCCGAGACATTTATCACGGCGACATCAAGACGGAGAACACGCTAGTGACATCTTGGAACTGGCTATACCTCTCCGACTTCTCTGCTCCTTTCAAGCCCATACTGCTGCCCGATGACAATCCAGGCGACTTCTCGTACTACTTTGACACATCCGGACGGCGAACCTGTTATGTGGCGCCTGAACGCTTCGTCGCAGCGGAGGAGGTTAATAGCAAGGACGCGAAGCTTACGTGGGCTATGGATGTTTTCAGTGCCGGCTGCGTCATTGCTGAGATGTTCCTGGAGTCGCCCATTTTCACACTCAGTTCGTTGTACAAGTTCCGCAAGGGCGAGTATGACCCAGTCATTTCGCAAATCAGTCGTATTCCGGACAAGGACTTGCGGGATATGATATCGCACATGATTCAGCTTGACCCCGAACGTCGGTACTCTGCAGAGCAATACTTGGATTTCTGGAAGAAGAAGGTCTTTCCCGAGTACTTCTACAACTTCCTTCACCAGTACATGGAGTTGATTACGGATCCTTCATCTGGGAACAGTCCTATATCTGGTGCGACGAGGAACTTGGGAGAAGCGGACGACCGTATCGACCGCGTATTCCTCGATTTTGACAAAATATCTTACTTTCTCGGTTATCCAAACGACAAACGCCCAATGCAAGCCGAGCCCCTGGCCGGAAAGCTGGGGTTGGGCCACTTTCCTGTTCGCCTCAACATACCAAACCATGAACAGTACATCACCGGGTCGTCCGACCCGCCAGAAGATGACGGGACTTTGATCTTCCTCACGCTGATTGTCTCATCCCTCCGTAATACGGCTAGGGCGGCGTCGAAGATCAGAGCCTGTGATGTGTTGCTCGCCTTTTCCGAGAGAATCACGGACGAAGCTAAACTAGACCGCGTGTTGCCATACCTTATGACGCTTCTTAATGATAATTCGGAACTTGTGGTTATCGCAGCGCTCCGGTCCATATCTCAATTGTTACACCTAGTCCGAGTGGTGTCTCCCGTCAACTCGCACATCTTTGTCGAGTACATCTTACCTCGACTGCAAAGTGCCTTGATTGCACCATCGAAACCAGCTAGCTCACTGGTACGAGCAACCTATGCATCTTGTATCGGAAGCCTTGCGACTACAGCTGCTCGCTACTTGGAGCTCGCGGCAACCCTCAAGTCGGATGGAACCCTGACGGTAGCTGATCCTGAGCTCGAGCCAGGGATCGAAGCGGAGGCTGCCTTTGATGGGCTATTCGACGACGCACAACGCGAACTCTACGAAATGTTTGAGCTACATACGAAGGCACTCGTGGAAGATTCGGATGTTTCTGTTCGCAGGGCGTTCTTGACTTCTGTGCCCGATTTGTGCCTCTTCTTTGGTCCCGCAGAGGCAAACGACATTCTTCTAACCCATTTGAACACCTACTTAAACGACCGAGACTGGATGCTAAAGTGTGCCTTTTTCGAAACCATCGTCAGTATAGCCAGCGTGGTGGGAAGCGTCAGCCTCGAGGAGTTCATGCTGCCGCTCATGGTGCAGGCCTTTACCGATCCAGAGGAGTTTGTGGTACAAGCAGCCCTGCATTCTTTGGCACAGCTGGCACGGCTGGGCCTCCTTTCCAAAACCAAGATTTGGGAGCTTATTGACGTTGTTGCACGATTTACGATGCACCCCAACCAATGGATCCGAGAATCTGCGACGGAGTTCTTGTCTGAGACAACTCGTTTCTTGTCTCCAGCAGACGTCAGGTGCATCGTGTATCCCCTGGTCAAGCAATACCTCAAGACTGGGATGGTTCCTGCGTTTTCAGAGCTCAGTCTGTTGGACGCTTTGAAACGGCC